ATACATACATATGAGCAATTCCATATGAAAGATACAAAGAACATAAAAAGGGAAATATTTTTAAAAGTACTGGAGACAAGTATAGTAACCACCATTCATATAAATAACTAAATGCGTGTTGGAAAATCCGTCTATAGTTCCATCAATATACCGATAAGGAAATTGACTTGAACTTTATAGGGGTATTTATGAATACTATTGATAATTTTTAGTATGAAAATAATATACTTTTGGTTCTGATAGGGTGGTAAATATCCAATCAGAAACAAACATATATAATTACAGCAAATTCGAATGAGAAACGTGTCTATTTGTTTGCCGACTAACCTCAAATCAGATCTATTATTTATAGTTTGTGTTCCGGAGGTTCGCTACCTAATGGGAATCAAAATTTCCAAACTACAGCCAATTCGGTATTAAAGTGGAAACAAAATGTCGAAGATTAATACACCATTGGTAGCAGGGATCTTAAATGTAGTGAGCTCTATCGTGATTTCAACAGATAGATTCAGATAGCCAAACCGACATAAAGTGTTATTATAATTAAGAATAAATACTACTATTATGACGCTTTTACAACTTCATATCTCTGCGCCATATTTATCTAAGATTAAATAAAAATTTGAGGTGATTCGATAAACAACTCTAGCAAATATCATTTTATTTATGAGCGTTTTTTGATCATTTTTTGGAATCGCTGGTGTTAGATATATAGAGTAACATTTCTAGGATTATCAAACATACATGGAAGTCAAATGTTCACATTGCCATTGGGGTGGATGAATCGGAAAAAGACTCATCAATTAGATATAACATATCCTTTTTATACTCTCCACCATAGTATGTAACTCATCGAAATAATAATTTCCAACCCTATAAAGTATATACATTCTTGATCTGTTGTAATCATTCTAGCCTCTAAACGAATAGAGTTATAGTGTACACAGATTCTTTTCGAAGATGGCCTATATCGGTTTAAGCATAGCTCCCATATAAGGATACCTCCAAATTTTTGGTATTTTCGGGTTTTCAACCAAAATCGCTAAATTGAAATAAAAATAAAAATTATAAATATAAATATGTATACTTTTTCTGGTAGCCTTCATATAACGTACCCAATTTTCACTTTTTGTGGGGTTTTGACACTTTTTACCTGAATTGGCTGAATTGGCCAAACATCTCTACAAAAATTATAAAATTGTTCAATTTTTTTTCGGGTGGCCCCATTTTTATGGGAACCCCACCGTTTTTTTTTTGTAGTCGAATATGGTAACAAATCTCCCGCCCAAAAATTATTAATATTTGCCCCCTAGACTAAAACATAAGGTTCGAGAATGAACTATATCGGCCCGCATTTAGGCCTAGCATCATATAATGATACCTACCGACTTTGGTTACTGTTAATATTAAGCATAAAGGTGTATTGTTATGCAAAAATGTTAGTTTCGAAATTGAGCTATATCAGTCCTCAATTAGGCATATCACCTCATACCGATGTAATCAATATTGGTCGCGCTTTAGGTATAGCCTCAAATGACAATTTCATATTGAATTTGGCATGTAGGACGGGTTCTGTCCAAAGAAGACCCCGGTTTTTTATTAATAATCGTTTAATTTTTCGGTCAGCTTTTCTGGTCGCTTTAGATTATGACCCAAACTTGTCGAAGATCGGTCAGTATTTAGTAGGTCAAATACACTCAGATTTTTGTGTGAAAATGACAAAATTTATATTCTCTCTGGCGTAGAAATTTATCTTGGAGTGCATCCTGAAAGGCTGAATTAAATATAGATCAAGTATAAATACTTACAGTTTATATATTTCAAAAGAAGGAATTAATATGAAAAATAGATTTGGAATGCCAAAAAGGTGCAACCATTTGAATATGTGGCTCATATTGTACGACTCCTCATATGGTATAGTTTAGTATTACTATTACCACACTAGAGAGTTGAGTTGATCTCCTTGAAATTATACATGACGTTCCGCTTATAGTCCAGGACGGTGCCTATAATTTTCGTTGATGGTCAGTTGATATTCCGGGTCAAATAAACCGGAACTTTTTTCTGTAATATAACGAAGTCCGGTGGAGCTGTTAACATCAAATCGGTCAAGGGAGTGCAAATATGGTGAAATATTAGGCAGTCTCCGCAGAAACTAAGAGCTCCATGGCTTTTGTGTAGGGTATCATATGGTCGGCCCCATCCCCGACGCATGGGGATATAATGACCGAATGGGGTGAATATCCTCATCATATGGGCGAGTGTGAAAATCGAGCTTTCTTGAATTTGTTCTAATATTTTTGAAGGGCCTTTATATGAGGGGCATATGACTCATTGTGGACTATTTAAAGAACTTAGACGTATTAATCAACTAAAGTGGATTTAATGTAGTATTTCGTATACTAAGGATAAAATACATTTTAAGGTCCTATACATAGTGCAAGAACCACTTTAGGTATTTTGAAGGTCTTTTCCGCTTATTTTATATGGTATGGTATATGGGGAAGGTCATTTTGGTTTTAATTATTTTTAAGGACCTATATGTGGGGTATATGGGTTTTTATGTTATTTACAGTTTCCAGACGTATTTATCAAAAAGTAATTTCAATGTGTTTTTTCGCGTTCTCGGTACAGTTCCATTTTTTTTGTCAATGCTCCTATATACAGGGTCCAAACCATTAAAAGCATTTTGAAGGTCTTTGCCACATTTTCCAATCGAAGTACATATTTGCGATTTTGGGGGATAAAATATACTCTTGGTGATGTTTCAATGTTTTGTCATTACTCTCAAATACTGGCCACATATAGACATTTCAGGTTCTCAGAAGGTAAAATACTTCCTAGAATATAATGTCAATATCAGCCTCTGGTTTCATTTTAAATATTTTTGGGTGGAACCAGTCAAATTTTCCACCGTAGTTACTGTAGTAAAACATCGACCTGGGCAAAAATGTCTTCATGTCTTCTGTCATTGAAATGGTTTTTGTGGACTTTAGGAAAATATATATTCTGACGAATTATTTATGTGCAACGTCCCATATATTCCTGTATGTAATCATTTGTCAAAAGACACAAACATACATATCTACATATTTACATTTTGCTTAACAAATAACACCAAACTAAAATAACAAATTTTTTTCTTTTCCTTTCATTACAGCCTAAAAAACGAACCTCTCACAATTCAGGTGATAATATGTACAGGACAAAGCTAAGAACAAAAAACCCCAAACTGGATGACTAACGAAGTCGCAACGAAAAATAAACCTTCAGAAAAAGGAACAAGTAAAAATAAGTGGAAATGCCAACATAGGAATAATGATAGACCAACCGGGAAATACCACTAGAAAAAATGTTGTTACTTTTGCGGACAAAAATTATACAGCACAAAAAGACAAAAAAGGCAACTAATTTGCAAGAAAGGCTAAGGCATTTCTGATTTTAAAAAGGAGACTTCTAATGGGTTTAAAAATTTTGTAACTCAGAGAAGAAGGAGACCATTAAAATATATATTTAAAAATTAAGAAAAAGTGAAGAAAAACTTAACGACATTTACAACAGACCCATATATTTTGGTTGTTGATGTTGTTATTTACAACAAAAAATTCTACCCAATTGAATTAGTGTTAAGCAGCCTCAGAAGAAAACAACAAAAAATACCCTACCAGGATTTTAAAAAAGGTGTAACTACGAATTTACCTTTTCGCCTCCTTGGACTAGCTGAGCTGAAGTCTAGTAGTTGTTGTTGCTTTCTGTGTGAAGGTTAAGGCGACACCAACAGCATTAACTTGTCTGTTGCTGCCTCCGTCGCCGAAATTCCCTTCCTTAGTCCACAATGCCGCCACTGATGAGTATGTCGACATCCAAGTTCACAAGACAAGTGAAAAATTTGCCTGTAGATGACCAAAGACAGCCATCAGAAGGTGTTCATCTTCATGGTGAAGGTGAAAAAGCCACAGCAACCAAATGCAATAGTTACAACAACAATAGCAACAACACTTCGTCTGCCCAACTAATGTTAGGCATTGTCAGGCCATCATCAGCCATGGCAGCAGCATCATCACCATCCTCATGCCTCCCTGCGAAGCCAGAAGTCCATGCAAAAAGTGTTGATTATTCTGTTGAGAACCCAAGGACCAGCATGACAAATCAACTTGTCGAAACAACAACAACAACGCAATTTTTAAATCATACTGAAGAGGAGGATACTTTTACAACAACACGAACCTCAGTGTCAACAGTTGGTAACTATGATCCTGCGGCTGAGGTTGAGCCTGAGACTCTGGCTACCCCGAATGCCGATCATAGCTGCCAAGTTCATATGCCATTATTTGTAAATAGTTTATCATCATTAACAGCAAAGCCAACAACAAAAACACCAACAATGAGGAGCAGCACCACCACTAGAGGGCGAAGGTCCCTGGAAGCAGAAAATGGAGAACTTTTAAAAGACTGTAACAAGGAGAGCCACAAGCAACAACATAAACACCACCATCATCCTCACTCTTACACCCATCAACACCATCATCATCATCACCACCAGTTACCCACAACGAGGCCACAAAGCCGAACACCCTCACACTGCAGTTATACCACTCGTCAAGGTATTTTTTCCAAGGCAATAATTTTTTTGTTATTCTCAGCCATAGTTGCGGGAGCCACCAGCCAACAACAACAACCCTCACAAAGTATTAGTTTTATCCAGCCGCAAAATACTCTACCTCCTGCTAAGGATTCGGTCAGCGGGCCGCTATATCAATTTCTTGCCACAAATCCCGGACGTCATGCCTATACCTCAGCATTTCCACGAAGGCGAACAGCAGATGGCACTGGCGGGGGACAAATGCAATCTCGAGCCGTTGATACCCGGGTACAATTTGAGGTATTGGAAGGACAACCGAAAGGCACCGTGGTAGGTTTCATACCCACCAGACCAGATTTCACGTATCGTTTCAATGAACCACCACGGGAATTTACCCTTGATCCCGTTACCGGAGAAATTAAAACAAATATGATATTGGATCGTGAAGGTATGCGGGAGCGTTATGACCTGGTGGTACTCTCCTCACAACCCACATACCCCATAGAAGTACGCATCACGGTATTGGATATTAATGATAATGCCCCTGAGTTTCCGGAACCAAGTATAGCTGTGTCATTTTCCGAAAGTGCGGCAAAGGGAACGAGATGCCTCTTGGATGCTGCCACCGATTTGGACTTGGGTATTAACAGTGTGAGCAACAATTATTCCATTGTGGAGGGTAATATCGATAATAAATTTAGCCTGGCCGTTACCTCAAACCCCAGTGGTGATGTTTCGTATTTACATTTGGAAACGACGGGAGATTTGGATCGTGAAACGCGATCTATGTATCGTTTAAATATCTCCGCAGTGGATGGTGGTAAGCCACCGAAATATGGGTTCCTGCAGGTCAATGTTAGCATAATTGATGTGAATGATAATCCGCCGGTTTTCGATCACAGTGATTATATTGTGTCGCTCAATGAATCGGTGAGTCCGGGAAGTACGGTTTTGCAGGTCATGGCCACGGATAAGGATTTGGGGGATAATAGTAAAATCACCTATTATTTGGCGGAGACGGAAACCCAATTTACTGTGGATCCAGAGACGGGAGTGATCTCCACAACGGAACATTTAAATTGTCCACAGCAGACGTGTCCCACCTTTTCCCGGCCGGGTGGTTCCTGCCCCAAGAGTTGTGTTTTTACGGTGTTCGCTCGAGATCATGGTTCCCCCAGGCAGGATGGCAGGGCCTATGTCACAGTGAATCTTTTGGATACCAATGATCATGATCCGGTTATACGGTTTCAATATTTCCCGGCCACGGGATCCTTTGCCACGGTAGATGAAAATGCCCTGAATGGTAGTGTGGTGGCTGCTGTGTCCGTGGTGGATATGGATGAGGGGCTGAATGGAGAGACTACCATAATGATAACCGCGGGCAATGAATTGGGACATTTTCGTTTGGAAAAGACACCCTCGTTTGATATTGTTAGGGTTAATGGTGTCTTGGATCGTGAGGAGATTGGAAAATATAATCTGACCGTGGTGGCCACGGATAAGGGTACACCCTCGAGAACGGCCACGGCTTATTTGATTATCCATGTAAATGATGTTAATGACCATGAACCGGTTTTTGAAAAATCTGAATATACGGCGATTTTAAGTGAATTGGCTCCGCCGGGATCATTTGTAGCCTCCATTGCTGCCACCGATGAGGACACGGGGGTGAATGCCTTGATTTTCTATGACTTTGTATCGGGTAACACCAATCAATGGTTTGCAATAGATTCCGCCACGGGTTTAATTACCACCCAAGCATCGCTGGATCGTGAGGTTGAGGGCTCTGTGGAATTGAGCATTTCCGCTCGAGATGGTGGCCCCAATCCCAAGTGGGCTTATACCCAGCTGAAGGTTACCATTTTGGATGAAAATGACGAAGCACCCCAATTTACCCAACCCCATATCAATGTCAGTCTGAGCGAAGCGACACCCCTGCACAGCTTAATTGCCATGTTAACAGCCAATGATCACGATCAGGGCACAAATGGTTCAGTGACTTATACGCTGGCCACGGTCACCGAACGTCAATATCCCGAACAATTCCAGCTAGACACACTAACTGGCCAATTAACGACGAAAAAAGCACTAGATCGTGAATTACAAGCGAATTATGAAATTTTCGTAATCGCACGTGATCAGGGTACACCGCCGAAATCGTCGACGGCCACTGTGTATCTGCACATAGAAGATGTCAACGATAATGCACCAGAATTTTATCCGAAAATGTATTTTCATGCGTTGGCGTTGCCAGGCAGTACAACAGCAACAACAATGGCAAATAGTAATGGTGTTACATCGGCTACTGCATCCTCTGCTTCGGCCTCACAAGCTCCTGACATTGTAAACATGCTGCAGAGGCCATTATTAAAAGTTTTTGCTACCGATCGTGATGAGGGTGATAATGCCTTAATTACTTATACCTTAAATACAGGTGGTGATGGTTTATTTGTTGTCGATACATGGTCAGGTTCGATCATGTTCAGCTCTAAGGTTATAAATGCAGTCACAACTAACTCACGAGTCGGCAGCGGCACATCTTCATCCTCCTCCTCTTTGCCAGATATTTTACATCATTTTACCAAGCCCTTGTACAAGCTACACATAACCGCCAAAGATCGTGGTGAAAGGCAAAGCGAACAAGATGCTGTGGTGGAGATAATACTGCAGGATAAATTACAAACATTGGAATTTGATTCGTATTCGCAAACCTATGAATTTCAGCTAAGCGAAGATAATGGCAATGAGTCGCCGCAATTGAATCGGGAAGTGGGCCAGGTCCAAATAAAGGCAACGCAGCAGGCAGCCTCCTCTGAGGCCTTGGAATATTTTATAGTATTCGGAGATCCAGAAGAAAATTTCCTGATCAATAAAAAATCGGGTATGATAACCACCCAAAAAGCCATAGATCGTGAACAGCGGAACCAATATCAATTGGAAGTGGTGGCAAGGCGGGGCCTGGCCTATGGCAAATGTTTGGTACACATTTCCATATTGGATGTTAACGATAATCGCCCAATCTTCGCCCTGGATCGTGATGATGAAATAAGTTTACCCGAAAATGCCGCCGTCGGTCAGGAGGTTTACATTGCCCGGGCGCGGGATAGGGACTCTGGAAACAATAGTCGCATAACTTATACGCTCAGTTTTAATCCGGATATGTTATTTCGTATTGGACCCTCAACGGGAGTGATTTATTTACAAAAACCTCTAAAAGCGGAACCAGGGACATCTATGCAACTGGAACTAACCGCAACGGATCATGGCAGACCCACACTATCGAATAAACACACAATTACCATACTCATTAGGGATGTCAATGATCACACGCCAGTGTTTGATAGTACTTCGTACGAAACTTCACTTCTCGAATCCACCCGGGTCAATGAACGTTTCTTTTCCGTGAAGGCCCATGATCGTGACTTGGAGCTGAACAGCCGCCTCTCCTATGAAATTATTGAAGGTAATTTGGCTCAAAAATTTGGCATCTTCCCCGATGGCTATCTCTTTGTACGTTCTCCCCTGGATCGGGAGGAAAAAGATTACTATGCTCTCACGGTGAAATGTCAGGATGCAGGAGAACCGCAAAGGACCTCCGAGGTGCCAGTTATAATACATGTTATCGATGAAAACGATAATGCTCCTCAGTTCAGTAACAGCTCCTTTATCTTCAGTCTACCGGAAAATGAACCAGCCGATGCTTTTGTGGGTAAACTCACCGCGATGGATAAGGATATTGGTAGAAATGCGGAATTGATCTATACCTTGGCCTCGCCCATCAAAGAATTTACTATAGATTCGCGGAATGGTTTCATTAAGGCCCTACGACCCTTTGATCGTGAGGAATTGATACAACGCATGCCATCAAGTGGAGGATCCTCAACAGCCATTGGGGGACCCTTGGCGGGATATCAAAATTTCATTCTGCTCGAGGCCATAGTGGCGGATAATGGCACACCGCGCCTTAAAGATAAAGTAAAAATCAAAATCATTATCACCGATGTCAATGATAATGCACCGGAATTTGTCCGAGCTCCCTACAGGGTGCAAATATCCGAAGGCTCTCTGGTGGGGACACAAATAATGCGGGTCTATACCAACGATTTGGATGAGGGTTTAAATGGTGATGTTTATTACTCCATTGTGAAAGGGAATCAGGAGGGACGCTTTGCCATAGATGATGCCACGGGTCAGCTATCTTTGGCCAGGAAATTGGATCGGGAATACCAAGATGAATATCAGCTGCTAGTTATGGCCAAAGATGCTGCCATCGAAGGGCAACAATTGAACAGCACAACAACCGTTACCATTGAGGTCCTCGATGAAAATGATGAGACCCCTAAGTTCGTGGATACCCTCAAGGAAATAACAGTGCGAGAAACCTCCCTTGTCGGCACGGAGTTGATGCGCTTCAAGGCCTTGGATTCTGATTTGGGTATTAATTCGCAAATATCCTTTTCCCTTACGGCCGGAAATCGCAAGGACACCTTTCACATAGATTCCTATAGTGGCATACTCTACCTCCACAAAGCCCTGGACTACGAAGAGACTACGGTGTATCACTTAAATATCACAGCTTCGGATGGTGGTTCCCCACCACTCTCAAGTACCATAATTTTTACCGTTAATGTCCAGGATGAAAATGATAATCCTCCAATCTTTCCGAACACAGCCATTGTAAGGCAAATCAAGGAGGGAATTGATTTACGCACACCCATAGTTACAGTGACCGCTGAAGATCCGGATTCCGCCCTCAATGGCAATGTTACCTATAGCATTGCCAAACAAGATCCTGAGCTGCCGGGAGGTCGTCACTTTGGCATTAATACCCAAACTGGAGTTATACACACCCTACGTGAAATCGATCGGGAAACAATTGATACTTTTCGCCTGACCGTGGTGGCCACCGATCAGGCCCAGAAACCCGAAATGCAGTTGTCTGCCGAAAAATTAGTCACAGTCATTGTGGAGGATATCAACGACAATGCTCCCGTTTTCATATCCATGAATGCTGCCATCCTGCCCTCAAAAAATCAACAAATGTATGCCCAAAATCGGGATGGTGCCCTGATCATGTATGTCCACGCCACAGATGCCGATTCTTCTAGTAATGGTATTGTTACCTATGAACATGTATTCGGTCACATGGATCTCTTTAAGCTACATCGCAATACAGGGGCCATAACCCTAAGGAAACCCATTACCAAACCGGAAGTACGTTATCAACTCTCGTTGAAAGCCACCGATGAAGCCGTGCAAAGTGAACGGAAAAGTACCGATGCCTACATAACCATAATTGCAACAAGTCCCTCGGGCGTAATGGGACCGGTATTTGATCAGCTGGAACAAAGTGGCTCCGTTTATGAAAATGAACCGATCGGTACAAGCATCTTAACGGTTAGTGCTCGTTTAAATTCGGCGGAAATTGAATATTATGTTACGAACATAACGGCGGTGAATACGGGTACGACGAATTCCTTAACGATAACGGGTACGGATTCGAAAACGTATGTGAATGAACGGTTATTTGATATTGATACCAGATTGGGAATACTATCAACAGCTAAGGAGCTAGATCGTGAGGCAGGTGCCGATATGTACGAGGTGGAGGTGTATGCGATAGCATTAGGCGGTAGTCCAAGGACCACAAGTACTAAGGTAAGTGGAGAATGGATTTTTTTAATAAATATTGCATATAAATAGAATATAAGGCCAAAAGAGGTATATATAGAGAATCTGGCAATCTACTATATTCTAGAAAAAATAATATTTATAAATCCACGCCCTGTTTTGGCCCCTAAAAATATTCTTTAATAAATTCACGCCCTGTTTTGGCCTCTTAAAAATATTCTTTAATAAATACACGCCTTGTTTTGGCCTCTTAAAAATATTCTTTAATAAATCCACGCCCTGTTTTGGCCTCTTAAAAATATTTTTTAATAAATCGACGCCCTGTTTTGGCCTCTTAAAAATATTCCTTAATAAATCCACGCCTCAGTTGGCCCTTGAAAAATATTCCTTAATAAATCCACGCCTCAGTTGGCCCTTTAAAAATATTCTTTAATAAATCCACGCCTCAGTTGGCCCTTTAAAAATATTCTTTAATAAATCCACGCCTCTGTTGGCCCTTGAAAAATATTCTTTAATAAATCCACGCCTCAGTTGGCCCTTTAAAAATATTCTTTAATAAATCCACGCTTTAATAAATTCACGCCCTGTTTTGGCCCCTAAAAATATTTTTTAATAAATCCCCGCCCTGTTTTGGCCCCTAAAAATATTCTACGCCCTGTTTTGGGCCCTAAAAATATTCTTATAAATCCACGCCCTGTTTTGGCCCCTAAAAATATTCTTTTAAAAAATCTACGCCTTCTTTTGGTCCCTAAAAATTGTCTTTAATAAATCCACGCCCTGTTTTGGTTTCTAAAAATATTCTTTCATAAATCCAAGCCTTGTTTTGGGCCTTGAAAATATCCAAGACTTATTTAGGCCTTGAAAAATATTTTTTAATATTTTTAATAAAATCATGCCTTGTTTTGGTCTTGAAAATTTCTTTTAATAAAACCACGCCCTGTTTAGTCCTTAAAAATATTCTTTAGTAGTAACGTGTATGTGTCTTAAGTCTTTTGATTTCAATCAAGAGATAATCTACCCAAATGTCTAAATCCTCCTAGCTTTTTCCACTATTAGATTTTTTTATTACAAATTATTAACCAATTACTTATCTTAAATGTTTTGGTAATCAGTGTTGTGTGTAGACCACAACTTAGGCTACATTGTAAAAATTCTCCCACCTATCCTATTCCGAGCAATTACAACTGCAAAAAAACTAGCCTTAAAACTTATTTATGCTTCGTTTCGTTTTTATACACCATTCGCAATTTACATCCCACCATTACCGCCATTACATTTTTATGACATTTGACAAAACACAATCCATGCATCAACAGAGACAACATATTCAACGCCTTCAATCGCGTCACAGAAAGAGCGAGGCTAGAATACACCTCTGATGTAGCCTAATTGAAACACTTACGTGTACTGATCACAAGAAAAAAAAAACTAGAATTAGGATGAGGGGAAGGGGTAAGGCATAGCATTTTTGTCCCAGACATTTATGGACATAACCATAACTACAAAATTTACAATTATTGCCTTAGCTTGTAGATTTTTACACCTTTTTCAATGTTGGATATTCGGACAACCAAACAACAAAAAGTCTTAAAACGCGACGGGAATAAACATCAATGGGAACAGTAATGGAAGGAAATGACCACGACATAAGTGCAACATTTAATGGCATACATTAGAGTAACGAACCATAGAAGAAAAACGTAGTGGAAAAAAGTAACGGTTATTCAGGGTGGATATCAAATATAAATAAAAGGAGGGAGAGAGGAATCCACAGAAAAAAAAGGAAATATCTCTGAGGGGAAAATAAGGTTCAGGGTTAAGCAAAAATACCTAAATTTGAATTCCAAACAAAAGAACGCAGTGGACCACAAATCGAAGCCATCATCTTCACTCTCCATTCAAGTCTCCAACAAAAATTCTGTCATCAAATACCTATATTATAAAATTCTCTAGATTTTAATAAATTGTACGATTTTTCGCACCCAGCAAATTGTAACTAATTTTGTTTTTTCTTTACTGCAGTTACACATGCGTTAACAAACATAATGACTGCCACATCTTACAATTGCTATGAATTTGTATAAAGAAAAATTATCTGTCTGCTAGCCTTATAACAAGAAGTAGTTAAGGCAAATGGTATTTTGGTGGCAGAGGAAGAGGGAACAGGACGAAATGAAAGCATTAAAAATATCACTTGTATAACAACAGCACTAAAAAATCATTACCGTAGATATTTCACTATTAACATCATCAACGTGAAGCACACCAAATGCATCTACACACACAGCCACACACATCTGTGATTACATTACTGGAGATACGAAAACATATATTCGATAGGGATGACAGTTGAAGAAAATATTCTTAAAAAATCCAGGCTTTATGGGAGCCCAAAATTATTCTTTAAAAAATCCCTGCTTAAAAAATGTTCTTTAAAAAATCCCGGCTTAATAAAATATTCTTTAAAAAATCCCGGCTTTATGTGAGCCTTAAGAAATATTATTTAAAAAATCCTGGCTTTATGGGCGCCTTAATAAAATATTCGTTAAAAAAACATGCTTTATGAGAACCTTAAATATATTAGTTAAAAAATATTCCTTACAAAGCCAGGCTTTCGTGGCAGCCTTAAAAAAATGTTCTTTTAAAAAATCTACGCCTTATGGCAGCCTTAAACCAGTAAGGAAAGTCGTAAAGTCGGACTGGGCCGACTATATGATATCCTTCACCACTTTGGGTATATTGGAAGCTATGGCTACATCTGCACAAATTTCAATAAAACGCAATAACGTTATTCAAGTCTCAATTTGATACGTTGTGCAAAAATTTCGTCTTAATCGGACAAAAATTAGGAGTTTCGTGCATCATTTATTTAAAATCGGACGAATATCAAATTTCGTGAAATTCGAAAGTTATGTAGGGACTTTGGTGCACCATTTACATAAAATGTGACGAAAATATATATGGGAGCTATATCGAAATCTGAACCGATTTTCCCGAAACTTGCCACACACCATTCTAGACACAATTCAGTACGCTATGCCAAATTTCGTGCAGATCGAAGGATATATAGGGTCTTTGGGCGAAAATATATATTGGAGCTATATCTAAATCAGAAACGATTTTCACGAAACTTTACACACATCATTCTAGACTTAATCCAGCACGCTATGCCAAATTTCGTGCAAATCGAATTATATATAGGGACTTTGGTACACAATTTACCTTAAATCGGACGAAAATATATGTGGGAGCTATATCTGAATCTGAACCGATTTTTATGAAACTTAACACACATCATTCTAGACCTTATTCATTACACTGTGCCAAATTTCGTGCAGATCGAAGGATATATAGGGTCTTTGGTGCACTATTTACCTAAAATCGGGCGAAAATATATATGGGAGCTATATCTAGATCAGAAACGATTTTCACGAAACTTTGCACACATCATTCTAGACTTAATTCAGCACGCTATGCCAAATTTCGTGCAAATCGAATGATATATAGGGACTTTGGTACACAATTTACCTTAAATCGGACGAAAATATATATGGGAGCTATATCTGAATCTGAACCGATTTTCATGAAACTTAACACACATCATTCTAGACCTTATTCATTATGCTGTGCCGAATTTCGTGCAAATCGAAAGATATATAGGGACTTTAGTGGACTATTTACCTAAAATCGGACGATAATATATATGGGAGCTATATCTAAATCTGAACCGATGTTCACGAAAATTAGCACACATCATTCTAGACTTAATTTAGTATGCTATGCCAAATTTCGTGCAAATCGAAAAATATATTGGGGCTTTGGTGCACCTTTTACCTAAATTCGGGCCAAAATATATATGGGAGCTGTATCTAAATCTCAAACGATTTTTCCCTATTTCAAGAGGGTTCGTCCTTGAGCCAAATAAATGAGCTATGGCAAATTTCATACAATTCAAATCAAAAATGCGACCTGTACTTTTTTTACAATTTAACAGGGACAGTCTGACGAACGGACGGACATGCACAAATCGACTTAAAAAGTGATTATATGCTTATCTCAAAAGGAACCATGTGTGTATCTGGTTTCCTTTTGCCTGTTACAAACATATGCACATAGACATAATACTCTGTACCACAGTGCGGTGAAGGGTATAAAAATCCACGTCTTATATTGGCCTTGAAAAACTAATCTTTAAAAAATCCACGCCTTATATTGGCCTTGAAAAACTAATCTTTAAAAAATCCACGCCTTATACATTTCTTGAAAAAACTAATCTTTAAAAAATCCACACCTTATATATGCCTTGAAAAACTAATCTTTAGAAAATCCACGCCTTATATAGGCCTTGAAAAACTAATCTTTAAAAAATCCACGCCTTATATTGGCCTTAAAAAAATATTCTTTAAAAAATCCACGCCTTATATTGGCCTTGAAAAACTAATCTTTAAAAAATCCACGCCTTATATTGGCCTTGAAAAACTAATCTTTAAAAAATCCACACCTTATATATGCCTTGAAAAACTAATCTTTAAAAAATCCACGGCTTAGATAGGGCTTGAAAAAATATTCTTTAAAAACTCCACGCCTTATATACCTCTTGAAAAATGTTCTGGTGACTGCATCCCTATCAAAAAATATCCCCAAATGGGAGACAGCATGTGTGAACCTACGTCCATACATATCTAGTGTCGAATTGGAAGGATTTCGTTCAACTGGAAGTGTTAAACAATTATTATGCTGTTATTGTTGTTGGTGTTGTCATTTCTTTCCCCCATCCTTTCACAATTTTAGCACTTTGTGCTTATCCAATGCAAGAGGGGTCCAAAATATTGCGCTTTGGCTTTCTACAAATATTTGCTGCTACAAGAAAAAAGAAGAAGAAGGAGAACAACAACAACACCAATGACACCACAAACTGCAAAATGTCCTTTGTGTGCTGTTGCTCTTGGTAACATTATGTCCACTGGCTATTGCTGATGTCCCCTGGTAGTTGTGGTGGTGTCAATGATGATGATGGCCATGATGGT